TGCTGGCCAACCAGGTCTTCACCCCGGTTCACAGAAGTCTATTAAACATTGTAAGGCTTAGCTCACTGCTTCATTGCTGTTTTTCCCTTACTTCCCCTTATTGGTGTCGAGTGTGGTCACCAATCACAGCGTATATTCCCATTGAGTCTTAGTCTTGGAAGGGGAATTGCACTGAGGGGACCCGACCACTTGCCTTGATGTTTCCTGGGCAAGCATGTTGCTTGTTCTCGTAATAACAGTCGGTCTGCCTATGTTGTTATAATTTTTCCTGTAGGTCTTTCTTTCAAGAAGTATCTTCTGTTCTTCTAGCCACTCCAGGTTGGTCTGCTTGTGCAGTTCTTTTGGAACACATTATACTCCTCATGGGTCATATGTTGTACTTCACCCTTCAGAACCTGCTAGGACTTGAATCCAGTTACAGATATGGAAGCAAAGAGAGGTGGCAGAGGTAGATCTTGAGGATAACCAGAAGTATCTCAAAGCAACTACCTTGTTGTTGTTGTGAGGTGCCATCGAGTCGGTAGCGACTCATAGGGAGGTCTTTTCAGTTTCTTCAGGTAAAGCAAGATTAACCTTTCCAACTACAGGTGAAAGGGTTCCTCCATGGCAATGAAGATTCAACAGAATTTAAGAGTTGGACATCTCCAGCTTCATTGGAATCTGCCTGTATTATCCCATTCCAATGTGTCCCTTTCTCTTTTCCTTCTTCTTCTCTTACTCCTCTCTTTCTCTCTTACACACGCATATACACATTTTATTTTTTTATCCATTTTGTCCATCCCAACACCAGGTAATATGATTTCATTGATCTGGAACGGAGAGCCAGGCATGAGTTTTTAAAAATAATCCACAGGTGATTCTAACTTGTAACAGAAGTCGAGAACTCCCTAAGAAGCTCTGGTAGCGTAGTGGTTATGATTCAGGCTGCTAACATTAAGGTCAATAGTTCAAAACTATCAGCGGGTCCACAAGAGAAAGATGAGGCTTTCTGCTCTTGTAAAGATTTACAGCCTCGGAAACACTACACAGGGTCACTATTAATTGGAACTGACTCCATGGCACATAACCACTACCACCACCATTATAATTCCCTAGTTCCTATGGGGAGTCCTGGAGTCCTGGTGCGGTGCTGTGGGTTAATGCACTGGGCTGCAAGGTTAGTTTGACCCACAAGTTGGGCAGTTCAAACTCACCAGCTACTCCTTGGAAACCCTATACGGGGTTGCTAGGGGTGGGAACCAATGTGACAGCAACTAACAACAACAACAAAGTACCTATGGAGAGACAAAAGTATAGGAAAAATCTCCCAACTTAAGGAAAGTTTAAAAATGTTATCTCAATTATTCATATATGATTGACATTTATTATATATTCTAATTTTGTAAAGAAACATGAGTGAATATTTGACTTAGACTTGTGCTAGACTCTTCATCTTCCTTGACCATAAAATCAGTCCTATGTAAGATCTGCACCGCATTTAAAAGTGAACTGGAGGAGCATCGCGGTTAAACAACACGTACCTGGGACGAGAGCATAGGTAAGAACACCATAGCAAGTTTATTCAGTTGCAAGAAACATAAAGCGGTAATACATGTTTATTTTTTGAGGCTGCCACTGTAACTTTTTTAAAATAAATAAAGCCAATCATATTACTAGATAGTACATTTTAAAGACCCCTACTGCTATTTATCAAGGAGCTCTGGTAGCGTATTGGTTACCAATTAGGCTGTGAACTGCAAGGTCAGCAGTTTGAAACTACCAGCTGTTCCGTGGGAGAAAGATGAGATTTCTGCTACCATAAAGATTGACAGCCTCCGAAACCCTGTACAGGGTCACTATGAGTTGGAACCGACTCCACGGCACATAACAACAACAAACTACTATTTACCAACTTTAAAAATATTTTCAACTGAATGTTAGGGAAAGGTTT